GCGGCCTCGGTGGGCCCCGGGGGGGGCGCGTCTGTGCCGCGAGCGGAGGCGGGGCCGGGAGGGGCCTGAGCCGCCCGATTGGCCGGCTGAGCCGCAGAGGGGCCCGCCCCGCGGGGCCAAAAGGCGCCGTCGGGGGGGGGGCGGGGGCCGGCGCGGCATGAGGGCGGCGGGGCGGCTGGAGGCTTGGGCGGGCGGCGCCCTTCTCCTCGCCTGGGCGACGGTGAGTCTCCCTTCCGCGTCGGGGCCGGAGCCTGCCGCGCCTCTCCCCGGCTCGGCTCTGCCTCCCTCCCCTGCCCGGCCCGCCGGCCGCGGCTCTCGGCTGCCTCTCCTCCCCGGACCGCCGCTTTGGCCCCGGGACCCGGAGGCGCCCCCCGCTCGGGGCAGGGGGGGGAGGGGGCTGAAGACAGCGAGCCCGGCGGACTGCGGAGGGCTCCGGGTGGGCGGGCGGCCCGGGTTTGCCTGGCCACTCTCCGCTGGCCGCCGCCCTTTTGCCCTTCCCGGCTTCCTTTCGTTTTCCCTTCCCTCCTTCCTCGGGAAACGGGACGGTTCGCCCTCCAGAGTCCCGGCTGGAGCGCCGATCCCGAAGCCTGTTCCGAGGGGAGCCGTGGGCAGCAGGGCTCAGGCTCCCTCCGGGCGAGCACGAAGTCGACTTTGGGCGCTCCTGGCGTTCAAGTGGCCAGCCAGCCATCTGGCCGCTGCCTCGGTTAGCTTGCTCTGGAGGAGCCCCCTCCTTCCTGAGCGGAGACAAAAACGTGCGAGCCGGACTCGGGTAAAACAGTGTGGGCTGGCTCACACTCGCTCAGCTGAGAGGGTTAGGGTTACCCTGGACGGGGGGAACGGGGAGGGGACGGACAGCGCGGGCCTAAGCAGCGCACAGAAGCATCGAGGAGGGTCCCGCAGGGGGGCGGGCCTCACGCTTTGGGAAGAGAACCCCGGGATAAAGGGGGCGTGGGCCCCGGGCGAGACTCCGAGGGAGGGAGGGAGGGAGGTCCGCGGGCCAGGGGGCCACCGCTGGGAAAGCCCTGCCTCCCCTCCCCTGGGCCGCGGGGCAGAGGTCAGGGCTTCAGAAGGAGGAGGCCTGGACTGGCCGGCGGCTGGACAGGGCAGGTGGACCGTGGTGTTCTGCTCGGTGGAAGCCTCTACTTGGGGGGCAGCTTCTCAGGGCCCTCCTCAGCAAAGGCCCGCTTGCCTAAGGCCAGCCTGGTGTCGTGGCTGTGAAGGGTGAGGGGGTCCGGGGGGGGCAGGGTCTGAGTCGCCACGGGTGTCGGGGGAGCTGGCTGGGTGACCCTGGGCCAGTCCCACTCTCTCAGCTTGACCTCCCTGACAGGGTCGTTGCAAAAGGCAGGACAGTCATGAATTAAACAAGCAGAAGAAAAACGTACAGCCGGTGGCTTCAGTGGCCTCCGAAGGCTGCGCTGCCAGTGGTGTGGCCACGGGTGGGATCCTGCCTGCCCTCCTGGTGGCTGGATGGTGGAAAGCGTCTGGGCCCCCCAGAGAAAGGGCAGTTGGGGGTAGTCAGGGCTGGAGCGCCATCCCTGCGAGGGATGGCGAAGGTGTCCAGGAGAAAGGCAAGCCGGGGCACAGAAGCGGCTTAGAAGATGAGTCGGGACACGTGTCCCTTTTGTCAGAATGCCGGGAAGGGATGCTTGCAGTTCCGCCTTTGGCCCTGTGGAATAAGAATAGGGATGGAGATGATGGCCATGGTCTGGACAGGGGAGGAAGGAGGCGGGCCTCTGGGGCGGAGCAACCGGAGCCCCCTCCCATGTCATTCCATAAAACCCCTACCATGGGCTTGTTCCAGGTGGGAGAATGTTCCAGGTGGGGAATGGGACTACGGTGGAGCGGAAGACACCTTTCCTAAGGGAACGGGGACTGTAGCCCTGGCCCCACAGCATGTGCGGTCTGTGTTCTTTGCCTGAGAGGTATCGTGTCCTGCTCTCGGGGCATTGTTCTCTCCCTTGCTTGGCATCCTGCGTCTGGTCCTTTTTTGCCGCGTGTCTGATTTCTGACATCCTCATCCTGTCGCATGTCTTGTCCTCCGGGACCACCTTGTTCTACACCATGTAGTCGTCGCCGTCCTCTGAGGCTGATGGGCAGGAGGCTGAAAGGAAAACACAGAGGAGTCTGTTTTGCACAATGCAACAATTTCAGGGTGCTCGGCGGCAGAGGATCTGGAGCGGGCTCCTCGCTTAGGAGGCTTTGGAAGGGAATTAACCAAATGTAATGGAGGAGCGATCCGTCAGTGGTTCTTGGCCAGGCAGCCTGCGTGGAACCTCCTTGTGCAGAGGCAGTTTACCCAGGACTATGAAGCAGGGGGATGCAGCCGGGGAGGCTCACTGCCTCTGTTGCCTGCACAGGAGATGACACAGGCCGTTTGGACATTCTCAGACAGGGCGTCTTGTCTAGAAAGCCCTGTCCTTCCTGTGGGTTCAGGAGCGTCTGGCCGGCAGAGGGCGAGGAAGTCCCCAGTTTCTGGTCGCCACAGGATCCACTTGAAAGGCGCTGAGGCCTCGCCCACTCGGCGGCAGCTTCTTTGGGGAGGGGTTGTGGTTTGGGGAGGGGGGCGTAGGAGGAAGAGTGTCGCTGGGGAGTCCCCCCAGACAAGCCCTGGCCTGGCAGTGCAGTGGAGAGTCAGGCAGGCCTTTAAGAACAGAAGAGAAGCCAGTGTTGGATCAGGCCAATAGCCCCTCCAGACCAACACTCTGTGTCACACAGTGGCCAGAAATACCAGAGGCCATCAGGAGGTCCAGCAGTGGGGCCAGGACACCAGAAGGCCTCCCACTGTTGCCCCCCCCCCAAGCACTAAGAATACGGAGCATCCCTTGCCCCAGACCGAGAGTTCCTACCTATACCTTGTGGCTAATAGCCACCGATGGACCTCTGCTCCATATAAGGACATAAGGGAGAAGCCAGTGTCGGATCAGGCCAGGGGCCCCTCCAGTCCAACACTCTTCTGTGTCACATCACAGGGGCCAGAAATTCCTTTGTGGGATCGCTGCTGCTGGCTGATGCATTTCCCTGGACAGCCAGCAAACTCAGAGAGCGGCGAGTGAGCCCCGGGGCCCTGCAGTGGCATGCCCGTGAGGGGGGAGTGGCCCATGCCTGTGGCACCACCAGCCCCGTGGACAGTTCCTCCTGGCCCCCAGCTCCCTCCCCCCTCCTCCAGCCCCCTCTTTCGGCCTCAGTGGGGTGGGGGCACCCCGGCAGTGGCTGAGCCGGCCCTCTTTCTTCTTGCAGTGCCTGGCCGTCGACCCACAGCAGCAGAATTGCAGCAGGACTCAGTACGAGGCCCACGGGAAGTGCTGCAGCAGATGCCCGCCAGGTAGCAGGCCCCGGCCCTTTGTCCCCACCCCCACCTGCAGCGCCAAATGCAGCTGGAAACAGCAGCCAGACAGTGTGGGTGGGGTGGAGAAATGCTGACGACTGCGCTCGTGCTGGCCAGTGTCTGCGGGGGGAGGGGGCCACACACCCTGCACGTCCGACGGTGGCCTCTCCGCCCTTCCCAGCAGCCAGGCTGTTGCTCCTCCCTTTAGCGGGGGCTGCCGCCTGGGGTCCAGCTCTCCTGCACTGAGTGGGGCAGAGAAAAGCGGCCTCCTCCCCAGCCCCGCTCCACTGGCGCCGCAGTAGACCGAATCCCTCCCAGCAGTCTGTGCTTCCGCCCCCCCCTCGAGCTCAGCTCCTTCCGGACCCCCTCGCATGGGTCTGTCCTCCTCCGTTGCAGGCAAGAAGGTGAGCGTGCCGTGCGCCGAGGGCTCGGACACTGTCTGTGCTCCCTGTCAGTCCGAGCGTTTCCAGGACGGCTGGACCCAACAGACGTTCTGCACCCCCCACCGATACTGCGACCAGAGTAGGTGCCCAGGGCTCTGGGGGTGGGGCTGGTGGGGGGGGAGGCCTCGCCGAGCCTGCAGGGGACCCCGCTGAGCCCCCCACCCGGGCCTCTCTCTCTCTCTCCCCGCTCTTTCAGATGTCGGGTTGGTTGTGCATATCCACGGGGATGCCACGCGGGACGTCGTGTGCCAGTGCCAGAGCGGCACCCACTGTTCTGGCCTCGAGTGCCACAGCTGCCGGGAGAACAAGGCCTGCGGTCCGGGCGAAGGGGTGGAAGAAGCAGGTGCGTGGCGGTGGGCCCAGGGAGCGTGACCCTCGGCACCCAGAGGGGGTGGGGCTATAGCAGGCCTCCTCCGGCCTGGAAACCCTGCCCTCCTGAGATTATGGCGGGGGGGGGGAGCCGAGATTACTTGGTAGGGGAGGGATCTACTCTCCACGTGCTCAGGAGCAGCCCTATTGTTCCAGGGTGATCTGGGCCCGTCCTTAGGGCAACCGGCACCTTCCTGTGGCAACTCTTGAGTAGCTGCTGCCGTCAGCAGCCTTGGGAGTGGCATCGTAGCCATGCAAACCCCCAGGAGACCCCAGACATGTGGGGCGGGTGGGCCTCTGGTGCCCACTCCTCTGGCTCGAGCCAGTGCACCGCCCCGTGACACTCCCTCTCTCTCCCGTGTTGCAGCCACCAGCGAGAGGGACACCATCTGCACCGACTGTCCCGCGGGCTTCTTCTCAAACGTTTCGTCTCCCACGGCCTCGTGCCAGCCTTGGAGCAGGTAGGATGCTGGTGGGGTGGCTGAGACCGGCAGCTGCCGTGGCCGAGACAGGCGTGGGCAGATTTGGCCGGTCCTGCCTGCCCCCCCCCGTTGGCTGAGCTGGGAACTGCTTTGCCGCTGTGGCTACCGAGGCGGCTGATAGCAGTGTCCCCTTCCTCGCGTGCAAGCGCAGGAGCAGAGCCTGGCTGCTCTTCCAACAGGAGCAGCTTTGGAGGGTGGGGGAGAAGGGGGCGGGAGGGGATGGGGTGCCTGAGACCCGCTGGGGGGAGGGAGCCGCAACCACAGTCCCTAGCGTGCCTCAGGCAGCCCTCGCTCTTCCTCTGCAGCTGTGAGGCCACGGGGCTGGTCCACAAAGCCGACGGGACACGCTTCTCGGACGCCATTTGTGGTAAGGGAGCTCCCGTCTGGGGCTCTGCCATTGGGGGGTGGGACAGCAGCTGGGGTGGGGCAGGGCCAGTGGAGAAGCTTCTGATTGGCGCACGCACTGCCCCAAGACTCCAGAGGGAGAAGAAGAAGAAGAAATTGGATTTAGGCCCTGCCCTTCACTACCCGAAGGAGTCTCAGAGCGGCTTTACAAACTTCTTTCCCTTCCCCTCCCCACAACAGACACCCTGTGAGGTGGGTGGGGCTGAGAGAGCTCTTGACAGAACTGCCCTTGAGAGAACAGCTCTGACAGAACTATGGCTTGCCCAAGGTCATCCAGCAGCTGCAAGTGGAGGAGTGGGGAATCAAACCCGGTTCTCCCAGATTACAGTTCACGCACTTAACCACTGCACCAAACTGGCTCTGAGCTGAGAGGTTCAAGTGACGAGAGGGCTTTCATTGGGACATGCGGGGTGTGTGCCCCCCCCCCGCAGACACTGGCCAGCACAAGCGCCGTCGCCAGGGCTTGAGAGAGGGCCGTGTGCATGACGGGACCGACCCCTTCTGCCGGTCTTGCCCGGGGTGGCCCAGAGGCACTGGCCACCAGCCCGGCTGTGGAGAAGCCGTTCCGCTCCGGGTGCGGAGGAGAGAGGGGTGGGGAGGCGGGCGGGGATGCCACTGCCCGGGCAGGGACTGAAAGGCTTCACTTCTCCCCGTCTCCTCCCCCTCCCCCACAGAAGATGCCTCAAAGGTCCGCTCGGGGGTCTTGGTGCCGGTCGCTCTTGCTGCCGTGATCCTGTCGTTGGGGTGCGTGGGGCTCCTTCTCTGGCATCGTCGCCGGCGTCGCCAGGGTGAGTCTCCGAGAGTCGGGGGGGGAGAGGAAGGGGGAAGGCGGCTGCCTCCCTCTGTTAGCCAGGGCGCGGGGGTGTTCTTGGCTGCCCCTGCCAGAAGCGACAGAAGAGGGGGGGCTTTTTTTGGGGGGGGTGCATCTCTCCTCTCCTGGCCCAGGGAAGAGCCTGCTCTGAGCACCCCTGTGCCGTAGCCGGGAGGAGGGCCTCGGGTTGCAGGGAGAGGGGCAATCACCAGCCACCCTCTGGGAAAGCGCCACCGAGGGCGTGGCAGCATCCCCCCCCCCGTTTCAAAACTCCAGTTTGTGCAGCTCAGTCAGTCCCTTTGGGGCTCCGTGGAGGGTAAGCCCAAGCACAGGTCTCTGCCCCGAGGCGCTTGCAAGCAGGAGTGCTGGTGGGGACCGAGAGCACGTGGCTCCCGGCCAGGGCAGCACCAGAGTGGCAGTCAGGCAAGAAGACTGGTTCAGGGAAGGGGGGGTGGCATGCGGGGGGGTGTTGGAGGGGGGGTTGGGTCCAGCACAGCCCAGGGGCTTCCCTTTGGGCAGGGGGGTCTCCAGCCCTCCCCTCCCCTCCCCCGGCCCCTCCTTGGGCAGCCCATCCCCCTCCCCTGCCTTGTTCCTGCAGGAAGCCTTGGCTGGCAGCAGTGGGGCGTGGCCACCCCGCAGGCCGTGGCCTTGGCCCGCTGGGTCTGACCCGTCTGACGCGGGAGGGGCTCCTTCCCAGTCAGCGCAGCCAACAGCGGCTCCGAGCCTTCTGGCATCCCAGAAAGAGCCCGGCTCAGTGGGCTAGAGCCCCCTCCCCGGGAATGGCCAGAGATTCCTGTGCAATCTGCCCGATGGATCGGCCTCGTGCAGCGGGGTGGTGTTCCAGGCGTGATGCCTTCTCTGTCTTTTTCCTTCCCCTGCCCAGATCTCCCGAAGTGGCATCACAATGCGGTAGGTGCCCCTCCCCACGGCTGGCACATGCACTGGGGGAGGGGGGGAGGGAAGGCCACCGCTCTTGGTCCGGAACCGCTGGCTGGCTGGCTCCGAGGGGGGCTGCGGTGGCCACACACCCCACCCTGGGAAGAGCTGTCCTGGGCCCAGCCCCTGTTCTGCCACCGATGCCTGTGCCTTTGCCTCCCCCTTTCCCCCCCCCCCCCCCCCAGGACCTGCTGGACCCCGAGAGGCGTGAGCCGGGTGAGAGTGACGACCCCTCCCCCACCCTGCCCATCCAGGAGACCCGGCCCACCACCCAAGAAGACGACAAGGACAGCTGCGTGGCAGAACAGGAGAGGCTCTGAGCAGCGCCGGCTGCAGAGGACGTGCCCGAGACCCTCCCCGACCCCTTCCCCCCCCGCGCGCCCTTCCCTGCTGGCTTCGGCGCACACACACCCCGTCCCCACCGCGCCCCCCAGGGGCAGGGCCGCCTTCTCTCGTGCAGAGTCCTGCGTGCATCAGATCCGGGTTCCCCCCCAAGTGGAGGTAGGGCGCCCAGTTCGAGAGAGCGGGGGGGGTGGAGGGGGGCTGCCCCAGATGTGTCTGACTAAGGAGTCGAGGCCGCCTCTTTACACTCGGCGTGCACCTGGTGAGAGGGGTTGCCGCCCTCCTCTCGGACCAAGGCAAGGAGGTGCGCGCACCCCCCAGGGGCCACGGGGGGGGGGTGCCGCCCACCGGGAAGGATCCCGTGCCCTGCTCCTGGCCGGGGAGTCCCGGGTCTGATTCCCCAGGTGGACAGGATTGCCCCCCTCCCTCCATCCTTCCTCTTGCCTGCCCAGCCCAGCCGTGCAGGCAGCTCTGAGGGCCAGTGTGGGGCGAGGGCTAGGGGGCCGGGGACGAGGGTCTGGGAGCCCCCGGTTCGAATCCCCTCTCTGCCATGGGAACTCCCCTTGGCCCAGCCACACACCCTCAGCCTAACCTACCTCACTGGGTTGTTGCGAGGACCACATGGAGAAGAGGAGAAGGGTGGAGCCCCCCCCCCCCGGGGACCCCCGTGAAGCAAAGACATAGTATATATAGGAGGTAAAGGAATGGATCCATAGCTGGAGCCAGTGTTGGTGTCGTGGTCAGGAGCGCAGAGGACTCTAATCTGGGAGAACCGGGTTTGATTCCCCCACTCCTCCTCCACTTGCACCTGGCTGGATGACCTTGGGCAAGCCACAGTTCTGATAAGAGCTGTTCTTGAAAAAAGAGCGGGTTCTGTCAAGAGCTCTCTCAGCCCCACCTGCCTCATGGGGTGTCTGTCTGTTGTGGAGAGGGGAAGTGAAGGGCAGGGTTTGCATCCAATCTCGTCTGGTGTGTGCTGGGTGGACCTGCCTGGCCCAGGTTCTGTCCCTGAGCCGGGGGGGAGGGGTTGGCCGTGGCTGGGAAGGGGAGGACTGTGGGGAAATGCACAGCGGCAGAGGGGCTTTCAGCAGCACACAGGAGACGCCCCCGGCCGTTCACCCACCTAACCCCACCCACCCACCACCACTACCCCCGGCTGGTTCTGGTTCGCGTTTCCCTGCGTCCTTAGACCCAGGGTGTTGCTGTACTTGTGGGTGTGAACTGCATTTTATATTTTTACATAAACGGTGTCTAGCAATATTTGTTGCCTGCTTGTTTCCAGTCCCTCACACCTCCCCGTTCTGGGCCCAGTCCCATTCCAGTGGCCCTGATGGGTTCTGCTTTTGACGACACACAAACAGGGACGGGCTACTAACCCTGAAGCTGCCTCCTGCTGAGTCAGACCCACCCACCCCACCTCACCCCCCAGCCCATCAAGGCCTGTTTGGTGTCGTGGTTAAGTGCACGGACTCTAATCTGGGAGAACCGGGTCTGATTCCCCACTCCTCTACTCGCAGCTGGCTGGATGACCTTGGGCAAGCCACAGTTCCGTCAGAGCTGTCCTTGAGAAAGCCGTTTCTGTCAAGAGCTCTCTCAGCCCCACCCACCTCACAGGATGTCTGTCTGTTGTGGGGAGGGGAAGGAAAAGGAGTTTGTAAGCCGCTCTGAGACACCTTCGGGTAGTGAAGGGCTGGGTATAAATCTTCTTCCTCTTCTTGTCTGCAGCCGCTCTCCATGGCCTCCTCAGGCAGAGAAGGGTAAGAGCATAAGAACACAAGGTCAGGCCAGTGGCCCATCCAGTCCAACACTCTGTCACACAGGGGCCAAAAATACCAGGTGCCCTCAGGGTCTTCCCCATCACCTCCTGCCTGGCCCTTTTTAACTGGAGATGCAGGGATTGAACCTGGGACCTCCTGCGTGCCAGGCAGAGGCTCTTCCCCTGAGCCACGGCCCCTTCCCATAGCTCTCCAGGGTCTCAGGGTCTTTCCCATCACCTCCTGCCTGGCCCTTTTTAACTGGAGATGTGGGGATTGAACCTGGGACCTTCTGCATGCCAGGCAGAGGCCCTTCCACTGAGCCACAGCCCCTTCCCATAGCTCTTCAGGGTCTCAGACAGAGGTCTTTCCCATCACCTCCTGCCTGGTCCTTTTAACTGGAGATGCTGCTGGGGATTGAACCTGGGACCTTCTGCATTCCAGGCAGGTGCTCTACCACTGAGCCACAGCCTCCCCCCCCCTCCATTTTCCGATGGCTGTTGTGGTGGTGCGGTTGGGGTCTTCTGCCCCCCCCCACAGGCCCTGAGCCTCCATCAAATACTCTTGGCATCCTGACAGACTCTGAAGTGGCTGCTCCCAAGGGAAGAAGGCCTGGGGGTGGTGCGCCTGCCTGCCTGCCGGCCAGCCAGCCATAGGTGAGAGGGCAGTGCTGGGGTTGTGCGAGAGTGGAAGTCCACAGCAGTTCCCCCCTCCCACCTGCCTCAGTTCCTCCCGTGCTAAAGGTGACGGCAGGAGTCCCAGGACCCCCAGGTTCCACCTCCGGACCGTGGCCTGCTCCATGTGCCGCTAGGGCAGTGGGTCAGATCCACCTCTGCCTCCTCCACAGCTTCTCTCAGCAGTGGCTTCTGTGTGCTGGATCCAGCGCCCACATGATGTGCATTTTGAAGGCCGTGCATGACTGAATTATCTAGCCGGTGCTTCCAGCAGAAAAAGGATTTCCAGGTGCCTCACACTGTTTTGGTGTCGTGGTTAAGTGCGCGGACTCTCATCTGGGAGAACCGGGTTTGATTTCCCCACTCCTCCACTTGCACCTGCTGGATGACCTTGGGTCAGTCATAAGTTCTTTCAGAGCTGTTCTCTCAAGGGCAGTTCTCTCAGAGCTCGTTCAGCCCCACCTGCCTCACAGGGTGTCTGTTGTGGGGAGGGGAAGGGAAAGAAGTTTGTGAGCCGCTCTGAGACTCCTTCCGGTAGTGGAGGGTGGGGTATAAATCCAATCTCCCCTTCTTCTTCATCTTTTAATGCATATTATATGTGGGTTTTGATTATTTCTTATGATTATGGTGCATTTCAAAAAGCATTGTAATCCTCCCGTGCACCCCCCCAAAAAAGGCCTTAGGAGCAAAGCAGGCTGAATATGTTTTGAATAAATGCAGGATTTATCGGTTCTCTGAGAGGGAGGCCCTTGGCTTTTGACTTCTGTTTGTTGATGGCATTTTTAGCCCTGCTTCCTGCCAGCCCCCCTGCCCAGCCATGCATGCCCGTGATGCTTCACTGAGGAAGCGAGACCAGGCGGCAGGCCAGCCGTGAGGACACCAAGTTGGGGCTTCCAGAGCCATGATGGAGAACGGCTGGCCCCCAGAGGAGCGGCGGCCACGGAGGCTGCTTCCTCACGGGTGTGAGGCACACAGGGACCTGCCTTCCACAGAGCAGGAAAGGGCCAGGGTCCAGGAGCATCTTAAAGACTCAACAAGGGGTGGTGGATTCAGGAGTCACTGCTCACTTCTTCAGATACCAAGAAGATGTGAGCAGTGAAGTGCCTGAAGAAGTGAGCAGTGACTCGTGAAAGCCCGCACCCTACCAAAAAACCCGAACCCTCCTTAGTCTTTACGGTGCTCCTGGACTCCTGCACAGAGCAAGACCCTCGGCCCCTCACAAGTCAGTGCTTCCTGCTCAGGCCGGCAGCTGCTCTCGGGCAGAGGAAGGTCTTTCATGGCAGCCACCGTCTGGTCCTCCTCACCTGAGATGGCTGCCAGGGATTAAACCCTTTGCGTGCCAAGCAGATGCTCTGCCTCTGAGCTGGAGCCCCTCAGAGGGGCCACGAGTCCTTGGCTCGCTCCAGCTCAAAGAGGAACGGCTGCAATTTTTAGCCCCGGGTTGAAGATCCCAAGCTGCCTCCAAGAGCAGCCCCAGACACAGCATGCTACGTCAGTCCAGCCTTGGCCTTGGTGCGGCAACAATTAGCACGGCCAGACTGGCTGAGTCCAATTAGGGACAACAGGTCAGCCGATATCATAATGCCCCTATATAAATCAACTAGAAATAATGCCCGTTGCGGAAATAAATACAACGGGATCTAGAAAGAGGCTCTGGGAGAGTGCTCTGGCTTTGGGCAAACAGTGTCAGTTTCCTGTGGCGACCTCAGCAGGGTTCAATGACAGAGTCCACTGTTTTCTCCAGAGGGACTGATCTCTGCTACCTGAGGAGCATTTGTATGTTTGAGTTATCTGTAGCCCTCACCTGGAGAGTGGTAACCATTGTTACCCATTCTCCTCTCCCCTATGAGGTATGTTATGCAACTGAAAATCCCAACTGCCTTGCGGGGGGGGAGTTTGAGGGGTGGAATGGACTGAAGTCCAATCAGCTTCCATATGCAAAAGACCAGGTTGTTGCAGCAGTTGTGGTGTGGGCGGGACCCGGGCTTTGCCTTCTGATTGGTGGCGATATATGCTGAGGAGCAGTGCCATCAGCCATACACTAAGGGAGTGCATTTTAGAATTAGAACTTTGTAGCTGCCACCACTTCCTGTGGCAGTGAATTCCATGTGTTCATCACTCTTTGGGTGAAGAAGTAGACTCCTGCAGCAATCATTTCCCAACAGAATTCATTTAAAGAAGTGAAATTTATTGAGAGGATGCTGATATCTAAACGCTTTTGTGTTAGAACTGGCTTAAAGTGCGCAAAGCAAGCTGATGTACATTATTCAAGGGGGTCTCCTGATGGCTCAGGTCCAATCAGAGGCCAGGTAGAAACCCGGCAAAGTTAACGGGCAATAATTCAGGAAATTTATTGGTGCTTGGGGGGGGGCAACAGTGTGGGGGGGCTTCTAGTGTCCTGGCCCCACTGCTGGACCTCCTGCGGGCACCTGGTACTTTTGGCCACTGTGTGACACAAGAGTGCTGGACTGGAGGGGCCATGGACCCGATCCAGCATTGGCTTCTCTTACGTTCTTATGAGAAAAGTACCCCAGACACTCAAGGCCGAAGGCTTCGGTTACATAGATAAAGACTGGAAAGGCAGCAACAGGAAAGTCAAGATTCCAGACTCTCCCCCCACACCCGTGGCCGCTAGAACAGCAAGAGGCCTAGCTGACACCCCCCCCCACCGC